GAAATAAGTATAATGATGGTGACAAAGCCGAGGCAAGAGTTGGACTCTTTGTCCTTAAGTCGAATTTGCCCCGCAACGGTGCCTACGGATTTCGGCAATCGACTCCCAAGATACAACGGCTACACTTGTGTTTGTAGCACTCCAAAAACACAGGTACAACGAACCAAATGTAGGCTTATGTACTCCACAGATGAAATGAAAGAAAATCAAAATAAATGAAATGATTTTGATTTTGGATAGAAGAGAGGATGAGAGACGTTTTTGCATATCAAACTGTTAGGAATAGGACACCCAAAGGGTCCTATTTATAGACCATGAAGGGGTGTGGACGAAATGGTTGAGGCCAAACTATGCACCCTTTCCAAACAATGCACCTTTATGAAAAGGTGTCTATTCACTAATGGTTGAGGTCTTTTTCGTAATTTCTCATTCATCCGATATTGGTTTTCGAAATGCCAAATATACCCTTCAATACATGCGCCCCGAAGCGGCGAAGTGGCAAACAATTTTGCCTAAACGGATTGAGTCGAGCTTTTGAGTATTTGGCCGAATTCGATACGAACTTTAATCGATTTTCAATTCTCAATTTATTTAACCAATATCCAACAAAAGATGAGCAGACGCCTCATTTTTTATGGTAAAGAAAGTCGACTATATTGCACACAGTCAAAGGATGATGACCTCGGTAACAATTTGTTTATAACAAAATAATATGTTTGTATCCATGTGATTCGTCCGCTTCGTGGAATCTTCAATAACTAAAAGTCAGCAATAATTTTGAAAGCTGGACTGGCTATAATTACCCCCAAACTGACTATAATGATCAAATTGTCTCCTTTCAAAAATGGAACCCAATGTTTTCACTTTCCCCCTCATCTTCATCTCCCTCACGTTCATATTCCTTTTGCTGAAATTATTCAGTAATTTCAAAGGGTTTAGAAGAACAAAGTTGCCACCAGGTCCATGGAAATTACCAGTAATTGGAAGTCTGCACCACCTGGCAAAGGCTGGTTCAGCTCCACATCATGCCCTCAGAAACCTGGCTAAGAAATATGGACCTATTATGCACTTGCAGTTTGGTGAAATTTCTACTGTCATCGTATCAGCACCTAGAGTGGCAAAAGAGGTGCTGACAACTCATGATCTTGCCTTTGCATCCAGGCCAAAACTTCTTTCACCTGAAATAATTACTTATAATTACTTAGACATATCTTTTGCTCCCTATGGTGGATACTGGAGACAGATGCGCAAAATCTGCACCATGGAACTCCTATCCGCCAAAAATGTCCGATCGTTTAGCGATATTCGAGAGGAAGAGGCCTCGATTCTCATTGAATCCATACAATCATCTTTATTTTCGCCCATAAACTTGACTACTAAGCTCTTTGCATTCTCAACTAATGTAGTGGGCAGGGCAGCATTTGGAGATAGATGCAAGAACCAGGCGGAAGTGATACCACTGATAAATGATTTAACCGCTACTGCTGGAGGTTTTGATCTAGCTGACTTGTATCCTTCGATCAAAATCCTTCAAGTCATTAGTGGGTTGAAATCCAAATTGATGAAGATGCGCCAAAGAAGTGATTGGGTCTTGAACGAAATCATCAATGAGCATAAAGAGAGGTTGGCAAATAGAAAGAAATTCATTGGTGAATCAGTAGAGGAAGATCTACTTGATGTTCTATTAAGACACAAAGAGACAAGTGATCTTGAATTTCCTATCACAATCAACGGTGTAAAAGCTGTCCTTGTGGTAAGTTAATTCCCACTCTTTATGATCTACGGTAATTTAGCTGACTCTGATGATGTATTTAGAATGCTGCTCCACTTTTATACAGGATATTTTCTTAGCTGGAACAGATACTACTGCAACAACAGTAGAATTTGCAATGGCAGAAATGATGAGACACCCTAGAGTGTTAAACAAAGTGCAAGCTGAACTGAGACAAGTTCTTAGAGGAAAGGAAATAATACATGAAACTGACTTACAGGGACTTCACTACATGAAGATGGTGATCAAAGAAACTCTAAGGCTTCATCCGCCTGCTCCCTTGTTACTTCCTAGAGTATGCTCTGAGCATAGAGAAATTGATGGATATGATATACACATCGGAACCAAAGTAATACTGAATGCCTTTGCTATCAATAGGGACCCTGAATATTGGGAGGATGCTGAGAGTTTTAAACCAGAGAGATTTAACGACAGCAGTATTGAAGTCATAGGACCGAATTTTGAATTTCTCACTTTCGGGGGAGGAAGAAGGATGTGTCCAGGCATATCTTTTGGTTTGGCCAATATTGAGATTCTTCTTGCCCAACTACTCTACCACTTCGACTGGAAACTTCCCGATGGGATGAAGGCTAAAGATCTAGACATGACCGAGATTCTTGGGACCACTACGCGGAGGAAAACCAAATTGTATCTGATTCCTACTCCTCATACTACACTTTCTTAATCAACATTACTGGTAGTCAATGTTGAACTTCAAATAAAGTATCAGTACTTTGCTACTATCTGATTCGTCTCATCCACTGTATGTCTGCTTATATGAAATGCAATCCTATATGCATCTATAGCATGTACTCAGTTCTATATTATCCAATCTCAATGACCAGGATAAATTCGATGTTATTTCCAATCCATTTGGACATATAAACATACAAGAACACGTTTGATGAAAAACGTGTCAAGCATCTAATGAAACTGTCTCAAAGGGAACGTCTCATGCCCCCATCTTATATAACTACTACGATGCCGTTTGTCGACCTTTAATCATGCCCTGCAACTAGTACACTAGCAACTAATAGGTGCTTCGAAACTCAAATGAGTAGATTTTTTCACCTTGAAAAATCAATGTGTGGTTTTAAATTTTGAATGGCTTTTCAGCAAACTATTGGAGATTTAGGCTTTGTGCTCTTGATGTTATTGAACACTGTGCTATAAGTAAAAAGGAAAACGCTTGTCATAAATCACCAATTACATAATCTTTTACAAATTCATTGAGAGGTGTCAAAAAGAAGAGTAATACTACTTATACATAGTCAGTTGCAAATTGATGTACATAATCATTCACTTATGATCGACGAAGCTAGAACAGGGACTCTCCTCCCCCATTGAGCCTCAAGCCTGTTTCATTACGAACCTCCAAAACAGGTTACCTTAAGTGTTATTACAGTGTGAACCGCTGACTCACAATGCTTCCACATGGCTCTCGTTGCATGGTACTTCATTCTCACTTGGCACCCTTGTGGAGTTCATCTTGAGACAAGCCAAAAAGGTATAATAATTTCCTTGTTAATAAAGTAGAAATATATTATACAATCAGTAAACCAATGACGTTAATGTTGGAGTCGAACCCTGGTTCTCTCGGTTTTTTATGCTCCCAGAATTATTATTGCCGAAGTTGTCTTTTGAGAAGCACGCTTTTATTAGTGTAAAGTTTTTCTCCTGGATTGGATTGTGTGGATCTAGAATGATCTTCTGGCTTCTCTGAGACAATTCATTTTTTGGACGGCTGATCCTTTGGTTTTCTCAAATTCCGTTTGTCTGGCTCTCTGTGTTCTTGAGAGAAAAAGAAGAAGGGGCTAGGGTTTGCTTCTTTTGTCTGATTTCTACTTACTCTTATTTTAAGTCTGGTGTGATAGTGTAAACCTTCAATTGTGTAATATTCTGAGTGAATAATGTGAGAAACTGTATGATTTCTCTGTTGTTGATTCTGATTTTGTTCGAAAGTCCTTTGTGAAGATTTCTTGGTGAATTTCCGTAGAGCTGTCACTGTACTTGTGAAATAAGTCTCTTGTTTCATCTCTCTAAACATTTGTAACTTTTGTTGCCATTTTGAGCCGTTTTAGTGCAACCGAGTATAAGCCCTTTTCTTGGATGCTTAACGGGGGATTTAGGTGTGAGATCCGGTCACCAAACTTTGGGCTTAGGCTAAAATAAATCTTTGGTATTCAACTTTAATTTTCTACAGTTTATTTTCTGTTTGATTGAATTATTCTTGTTTTTCGACACTTATATCGTGTGATCCTGTCTTTTCAGTTAAAGGTGATGGTGAGAAAAAAATTTAAAATGAAATTGTAGTTAAAATCAAACCAAATCATATTGTTTACGTTTGCGTTTGATTTGAAAATGTCTAAAAATGCTCAAATTAGATCTTTCACACTCCTAAATAGATGCGAGTCTTAGAAAAATGTTACGATTCTTATGTCTACATTCAGGATATCAATAATGGGGAAAATTGATGCTAATTTATAATGATAGCCCTCTAAGAAAGTAAGTAAATAATAAAGAATGGAAAATTTGACCCGTCTGGTCCGAGCAAGATTGTTGAGTTGCGTACACATGGGATCATTGCTGACGTCCATTGCATTACGAAAAATTGTGAAAATTTTGAAAATATAGATTGGTGATCTTTAGTGTCAAGTAGTTAAGAGAGACTTGAACATCAACGAGAGTCATTAACATAGACTAATTGTTCAACTTTTGAATTGTTCGGTTTGACTAAAAATTATAATAAATCGATCAAATTAATCAATAATTTCTAAAACTCTGTTGATGGCCCGTCTTCGATTAACCCGATTTTAACATTATTAGAGTTTTCCATGAATTGAGGATTCAATATTTGTCGAACTTTAAAAAATTAATGGGAAAGTGCAGTAATATCTCAAACCTTTTATTTTTGTTATCGTCACTCCAAATATATGGTAAAATATGCAACAAAAGGACCTTTCAAAGAAATCAATCTAAAAATTCGTTAATTAAGCACGTGAGTAGCATGTGTCCAACTTTAAAGAGGCAAACTTGTCTCTCCATATTTTTCAACTAAAAATAATTAAAAAAAAGAATTTTTAAAATAGATAAAAATCCTAAAAGAAAAGGAAGACATTTTTCTACAAAACGAAATATTATTTAATTTTCAAACACACCATCGCCACCGTCACCATCACCATTGGGAATCTCGGGGTCGGGAGTGGGGGGTGGGGGGACGTTATTTATCCCCTGACTTTCAGCCCTAAACTAGGGTGCGAAGGCAATTTTTGGAGTAGGGATTGGGGTAGATGTGGGCGTATGGCAATTTAAAGATGATGTGCACATGATGGTGATGCGACGGTTAGCCAGGCGCTATTCAAAATTTGGGTTCGAGTACCACGCGGTAGGGAGGGTTCGGGGGGATGAAATGTTTTACTTTTTATTTTTCTTTCTGTTTCAAATTTAAAATTCATTTTCCATTAATCTTCTTTTTAACGTTTCATAAAAATTATATTATTATTATTATTTATCATTTATAGGGATCATTACCTGTTTAGATGGTAATAGGTTCATTATTCATTATCCATTGCCTATCACCACCATTCGCCTCCGCTTTTACTGCTGCCATATTCTCGAGTTAAATATCTCTGTTGCCGCTGAAGTTTCTCCAAATTTTCAGTTACTATTGAACTATAAATTATTATGAACCGCCATTGGACTTTCTTAAATCCTTTATAGTTGCCATTAAATTTAATAATTATCCGAGTTTCTATTAAGCTCCCCCAAAATATTTTAAAGTTACCAATGTGTTAGTCTCTTGTGAAAATTTGTCCTACTCAACCAATAAATATCCTGTTTCACCGGCCCTCGGCCCAGTATAACCAAACTCAAATGGAGAGACGCCATGTGTTATGAGATTAATTAACTTCGAAATGGTAAAAACTAAGGAACTTGTATCCCTCACCTACCCAAAATGAAAGGTAGTACAGATCGCTATATAGCTCGTCTTGTTACAAAAGATTATCATTAACTTCCTTCGATCGATTACACTTAGACATTTGGCGTTGTAATCGAGCCCACTAAAATAAGGTGGTCCTCACTATTGCTCTGTCTCATTTTTCGCCCATTTATCAATTTGATGTTAATGATGATGCCTTTCTTCACAGTCATATATCTAAATAGCTCTTTATGACTCTCAACCTCCTAATTTTGTTGATGAATCCCAACCTCAACATGTATATGGCCTTCGTCAATCTTTATTTAGCCATAAACAAGTCCTCGCATGGTTTTAGGACCTCAAGACATTTATTTTTGTAAGTTTTCTCAACTCCTGATTTGATCTCTTAAAGATGATGTGCACATGATGGTGATGCGACGGTTAGCCAGGCGCTATTCAAAATTTGGGTTCGAGTACCACGCGGTAGGGAGGGTTCGGGGGGATGAAATGTTTTACTTTTTATTTTTCTTTCTGTTTCAAATTTAAAATTCATTTTCCATTAATCTTCTTTTTAACGTTTCATAAAAATTATATTATTATTATTATTTATCATTTATAGGGATCATTACCTGTTTAGATGGTAATAGGTTCATTATTCATTATCCATTGCCTATCACCACCATTCGCCTCCGCTTTTACTGCTGCCATATTCTCGAGTTAAATATCTCTGTTGCCGCTGAAGTTTCTCCAAATTTTCAGTTACTATTGAACTATAAATTATTATGAACCGCCATTGGACTTTCTTAAATCCTTTATAGTTGCCATTAAATTTAATAATTATCCGAGTTTCTATTAAGCTCCCCCAAAATATTTTAAAGTTACCAATGTGTTAGTCTCTTGTGAAAATTTTTCCTACTCAACCAATAAATATCCTGTTTCACCGGCCCTCGGCCCAGTATAACCAAACTCAAATGGAGAGACGCCATGTGTTATGAGATTAATTAACTTCGAAATGGTAAAAACTAAGGAACTTGTATCCCTCACCTACCCAAAATGAAAGGTAGTACAGATCGCTCTATAGCTCGTCTTGTTACAAAAGATTATCATTAACTTCCTTCGATCGATTACACTTAGACATTTGGCGTTGTAATCGAGCCCACTAAAATAAGGTGGTCCTCACTATTGCTCTGTCTCATTTTTCGCCCATTTATCAATTTGATGTTAATGATGATGCCTTTCTTCACAGTCATATATCTAAATAGCTCTTTATGACTCAACCTCCTAATTTTGTTGATGAATCCCAACCTCAACATGTATATGGCCTTCGTCAATCTTTATTTAGCCATAAACAAGTCCTCGCATGGTTTTAGGACCTCAAGACATTTATTTTTGTAAGTTTTCTCAACTCCTGATTTGATCTCTCTTTGTTTATTTATAATATACCAAGCTTAATTAATTGTTTACGTTTTAGTTGGACGACTTGTAAATAAAAAGGAATTCTCCATCTTTTATTCAATGTTTCCCTCTCCATTATTCACTCGATGTATTTTTAATGCCTTGGTTAAACTCTTCTCTATTAAAGATCTTGCCACTTCACTTTTTCCTTTGTCCCGCCGGCCTATTAGCACCTCAACACAACTTGTTCCAAGATAGTTCAGACAGGGCCAGCTACGAGAATTTTTAGACCTTAGACTACTAATTATTTTGAGGCCCTCAAGCATAATTATAAAATAACATAGCTGACGACGAGTGGCAGAGAAAAGCGGAAGGCAGAAACCCTAGCGGTGGACATGTGACATTTGGAAAGCCCAAGCCATAGATTAGATAAGATGAAGGCGGTAAGAAATGAGATAGCGTTAGGGATTTGGAACTAAAAGGTGACACAAAAAATGCCTTAGAAATGAAAGTCGAAAATATGATTTTGAAACATTCAACAAATGTTGCAAAAA